GCACTGACTCTATCTATGCGCCACGCAACAGCTCTACACTCATATCGCCTCTCCATTACTGACGACGCAGACTCTACCTATATTTGGCCAGCAACTGGAAAAGTATTCCACTTCCCGCGTTGCATTATCACCTCGCTCAGTGTAAAACGGCTGATTCAGCCTTTGAATGAAAAAATAAAGGTAGATACTCACAAAGATATCTCATCTATATCATCTGAAGCTAGCGTTCCACCTTCGCCATTGAATAGAAACGATCCTTTCTTCGCACCTCGTCCCTGGAACAGCCAATATCTTGACACTCTATTTATTTATTTACAATATCTGCTTATTTGTTTATACGTGCGGTAGACGCGCCACTGAATCCACTATGCGAAATCCAAGCAAATCAAAAGGAGAAAAGGAAAAAAGACGGTAATAAGAAAGGTTATCACGACAAAAGCTGAGCCAAGTCCATCTAATGGCAATCAAAGAAGTAAAGACCAATACCAACTCCAGTGCCAGAAATGATTGCAACTAGACTCAAATGACAATGACTTTGGGTGTTTTGCTACCATTTGTCACACTAGACTGGGCTGAACATGAAAAAATTTGGAAGGCACTCAACTATACAGCATTGAAAACTTTACGCCAAGAGCACTGCATTTGTTTCACCTTTGGCAGCAGGCCGCTCACACAAAAAACGCCGCATCAGAGTATGGGAGTTATTTGCCAGGTAAAGCCGAAGGGCTGAATATTGGGCAATAAGTTGAGAAAGAATTATGTAAAAAGCCATATAGGTAAGCAGCTACAACTAAGCTGCCTCACTTCGTTGGAACAAATTTCGCGCAATCTGCATCAGTAAACGGTTAGTAGGAAAGCGTCTGCGGCTCTTCAAACCTCTAATGATGATGCTTGAAAATAAACTCACCCTCACAACTTTCGCTTGAGGAGCTCCTGACTCGACCTCCGTGGTTTTCAACTCATCTTTCGGTGGATCAACGCTAGGATCATCAAAGAACCTGGAAAGATACAGCACATGCGATTTCCACCGTTAGGTTCCAATGAGGAAATGGGCCTTGTTCCTCGTCAATACAAGGTAGAATAGCTTCTTTAAAGCTTTTCAAAAACTTTGCTTCTTCTCAGCAGGAGGTTTGGCAACTTTCGCGAAATTTCTTCTAAGCCTTGTCAATTGCACTACTGCAGAATAGAAAGGGGAACAGGCATTACTTCCTTACTCGCCCATTGAGTCATCGCGAAGAGCGCGAACACCGCGTGCAGAAACTTCTTTGCATCGTAAAATTCAGAAAAAGGCGAAGATTGCCAAACGCAGTGAGGCACTTGTGCAACCAAGTTTCCTATTAAGAAATCTGGCTCCACATTCCAGAGGGGTGTCCTGTCAATGTTTACAAGCACCGATCGAGAAAGGGAGAGTTATAAGTGGATTGCACCCTCTATGGTGAGATTCGCGCCATGAGCTCCTACCTCTTCACATTTTGACGGCATTGTGAGGGGCGACCAGCATGGTTATCTTCTAGAGTCATGAGGATGGAGCCATTTCTAGGAGGTCATGAGGAAAGAACCCGAATATTCGGATGGGAGCGACATCAGAAGCCTTCCGGAGCAACTTATTGCAGCATTGAAATTTCGCCTATTCTAAAAATTCACAGATGTCACATAAACAGCGTGCGCAATAAAAGTGTAATTTCGCCCAATTTATTTACTTTCTTTCAAGTTACTTTGCCACTTTTATCAATTCAACCCATTGACAGCACGACCCTTCCTTTTCTTACCTGGTGTCATGCTCGTAATCCCACTCAAGTTCGTTGCCTTTCTCGTCGAACACATTCAAACCAGGTCGCACTTTTTGCTCCGTTGACCAAGAATATGTGAAGCCTGCGCAAAAAACTAATTAGTTCACTGGGAAAGGCTAATAAAAAAAAAAATGCTATGAAATTTGGGAAAGGCTAATAAAAAAATGCTAAAAATGATGCAGCCTTACCCTGATCGTCCATCTCCTTTTTTCGTTTCCGACTGACGTCATCTTCGCTACTATTAGCCGGCAGCTTCTGCGGCGCTCCTGAGCAGAAACGAAAATCAACGAAACTAATACTAATATAGAACGACCGGTAGTATGAAGATACAGTTGAGTAGAAGTCTTTAGACTTTGGCTCCTTACCGCTATGTTCATGGCATGTCTTTAGCAAATCTGCGATCATAGAAACGACGTTCCGGCGACATGCTCTGTCACGACACGCGACGCCTACAAAAAACACCTATTTCCACCTTGAGTTTCTCGGCGGATGCCATTTGACAAAAACAGATTTAGTGGATTAGGCAATTTTTAAATCATTTATTTTTAACCTGTTTTCCCAAAAATGTTTAGAGATGTGTTAAATATCACACTATTCGTGAAGAAGAAGGACCCCCAGTTCCCACTTATTCCCAAAACAACAACTAGAGAAAATCTGGGGTAAACTACTTACCATGCGGTATATCGATTGCATCAACATCCACTTCGACAACGTCGTCTCGAATTCGCTTCGGTTTATCTCCTGAAATCCGAGAAAAAAATACTAGGCAAAAGTCAAAAATAAATACTAGGCAAAAAAATCAGAACCATGCGGGAACACCCAAAAACTTGTTGTGAAGAACAGACGTATGTTAATAGGGACTTCGGAAATAATAATAATTTGTCCCAAAAGATACCACGTCCAACCTTCCCTGATGGCGAGGAATTATGCAGCAAAAGTGAGATCGATATTAATATATTCACCTTTCTTTCATTCCTATTCTCAAAGAAATCGAATTCAAAAACATAACAGAAGAATAACAGAATTTGTGGTGCATGAGAAGAAATAGAATCGATGTGATCCATGGTCAAATGAGCCGTTTTACCACACTTACATATCTTACAACATGGTCGCCGTGCGCGCTCGTGTAGCATTTTCGTTTCCACGAAATCGTCTTCGTTGACGTTCTTTTTTTGTACGGTGCAATACCGTTTAACTTAGGTACTACCTTTGGTCACCCCACTCTTGCAGGTTTCCGAATGATGAAATCGTTTCCTCATCGCCAAACCACCACTGACAAGGGAGGTCTTTCAGGACATGGAGCGTTTTTTCAAAATGGTTTCTGAATTTGTAGAGGCTCATGTGAGGAACACAGAACCATGGTCATTTTTCCTGAACGCCCCCAGGAATTCAAACAGCGGGGAAGAAATGGTCCAAAGTTCCATCCTCTAGTCATCACCTGTGATCGAACTCTGACCATTTCTTCCCCGCTGTTTTGACATTCCTGGGGGCGTTCAGGAAAATGGACCATGGTTCTGTGTTCCTCGCATGAGCCCTACAACATGCAGAAAACCATTTCGAAAAAGCGCTCCATGTCCTGAAAGACCTTCCTTGTAGCCA